ATGCAATTGCCAACATTACGGCCCAGACAGACCAGATGTAAATAGCCCAGAGCTGCCCAGGGTTATGTGTTTTGATCTGTAACAAATGCTTGGATACCTTTTAAGGATAGATTACTGAACCCAGCATCTCCATGCTTTCATAAATTTTCTATGCACAAGAAATCTGCCAGGAGTGTTGACTCCAATCCCGATAGTTTTGACCGCAAAACAAATATCCTTTGTTATTGGATTGTATCTACGTCCAGATGAGAAAAGAAAAACACTAGATGGAAGAGTAGATTAACTGAGAGAGAAGGCAGACTGCTCGTAATTCCTACCTCTTGTAAAAAAGGCAAGAGCTCCTACCATGTTGATAAAACTTCATAAATATTTTACTAACATAAAATGGAATGTAATGCATTAATGCCAGGAGACAGAGAAGTGGTGTGAGCTCCTAGGTAGTTCCTCTTGCTACAATTTTGTGCATTTTGCAAGCAGGCACCCAGAAGCATAAGCTCCACCAGTGCGAATGTTAGAGCAGTAAGACTGCAAAGATTTGCACAGGGTCTAAATGCCCTCCAAAAGCAACTTTCAGTCCTGAATACGTTTACATTTAAGTGGTAAATTATTACAGAAAACCAAGTATAGGATTGCAGATGGTCTCCAAGATCTATTCAGACAGGGGTTTCCCCAAGTTCAGCATGACACAGATGGAATTTGGGAGAAAGGACTGTTAAGAACTGAGGGAGAAATTTTAATGCTAATACTTTCTCAGATTTTTAAAGGTCATTTTGGTTTTGCTTATCATGTTTGGGAAAAATGGCTTCAGCCTACTACAACTCTGCTTAAGAACAGGGAGAAAGAAAATGAACGATAAGGTTTCAGATACAGCTTGGGTGGCCAGCAACAGCAGAACTTGAGGAAAGTCAGCATGGAAGTGACAGCTGTGGTGATTCAGAGCATTAGCGAGGCTGGTGTAACTGCTCCATACTTCAAGCTGATATAAATACAAAGGGGCCCACAGATAACACTCTTTCGGGATTCAAGGCTTTGATAGAAACATCCTCTCTGCCTTCAGCCTGTTTTGGAAATGTTCCAGAAGCTGGCTGTTCCCCAGCCAGAGTCTAGATTGAGTGTGACAAAATTCCACTTTTCAGAAATCGATGTTGTAAGATTTTTAAATCAGAACTAGGAAATTGCTCAGAAGATGCTGGGAAGGACTCAGCCTTGGAAAAGAACAGCTACCAAACAATTTACATGTTACCAAAGACAACAGTAAAAGAAGCCTTAGGATGGTTTCCATTGCTTTTAAAAATAAGTATTTGTTATATCACACACCAAGGATACAACATTAATAGCAAATCAATTAAGATTGTTTACATTTCTTTTGCTGAAGCAGTATTTGGTGTTGTGACAGTTTTTTTCCACTAGGACAGAAAAAAATCGACCAACACATAACCAACTACTTCATTCCCAAACTCAATTTACTTCCCCTTCCAAAGACCAGGGATTTCAAAATCTCTTTCAGAAGAAAAAAAACCCAAACAAATAAAAGGAAGCCTTCAACCCAAATTCTGTTATTGCTGTTCATAACAATAAACAACAGATTTGATATAAAAGCAACACTAAGAGGGTAGAAAAAAAATACGCCAAAGCTAATTTTAGTCCTGCTGATCTCAGGAGCTTTGTGTTCCTGTCAGACTCAACAGACTCCAGTGGTGCCCTGACTGCCTGGCTGGCTGGTGAAATCTGTCCCTGGAGGTCTATTTATGACACCTTGTAACCTTTACCTAGACTGGGGGACTGCACTGATCCAAGACACAGATGTGACCTACTCAAGTAAATTACCAGGAAAAAAAAAAATAAAAATCTAAATGGTTCACACTTTGTTTTCTGCAAATCAGTCCCTCTGGACTTCAGTAGCTAGCCAAAATCCACTCCCCAGAGTTATTTCCATTAAAAGGAGAAACTGATGACAGAATCACGTGTATCTTTGATACAAACCCACCTGCTTACATACAACACAGAATCCTTTTACCTGCAACAAGGTAAGAACAAATGATGGTTCTCATCCAAAATTAGCTGTACCACATCCACTCCATTCATGAGCTTCTCCTACTTTTTTCTCCTTAGAGACACATTCCTACTGCTACCTCTGTCTGTTTCTCATAATCAACACAATTTTCTGTGACTTGTTTCACTGGTTCTTATGTCATACATAGGCAACTCCAGCAATCACTAGCTCAATGCCTTGTGTTTGCTTTATGAGTTCCCAGGGAAAATCCCTTTGGTCACTTAGCTAAGTTTTTAATGTAGATCTCACCATGTAATTCTGGGTTGGTTGCAACCCCATTACTTCAACTACCGGGTTCCATAATGACTTGAACCACTTTTTAAACACTTACTTTGCCTGCCAGCTTCACTGAATTTTACCCAGTCCAAGTTGTATCCCTTCCATTCCACCCAGTCTTCCATCAAACCAAAATGGCAACATCCCAACCTTCCCAGCCCAGCAAGAGAAATGGTTTAACAAAACGACTAGCTATACTGTAGACAGCTGCTGTCAAGGTACTTCCATACTTCAGCTACACCCCCCAGCCTCCCAAATTCTGTTTCCAACCATGTCTCCTTGTGATTTTTCTACTGTTTTTATGAAACCTGCCTACCTGAAGGGAGCTATAATTCCTTTGCCCCCGATCAAGAGCAACATCCTCTGCTGGATGCAAGTGAAGAATGCATTTCCCAAATGTTTATCATCTAGACAGGAGAATGGAATTCATGCAGGCACCCTGACCTTCCTCAGGGTAAAAATCTGCCAAACTAGCCTAAACTACCTTAAACAGAAACAGTAAGAATTAGGAACAGAACTACAAAGCAGTAAAACACTCCTGCTGTTAGACTGCCTTTGCTAGCAGGATGACAGCCCCAAACTGAGAAGGTGTAGCGACCAACGGATTGGTAGTAGTGTCTCAGGCCGCATCTTCACATTAAAGCTTCAGTTACATTCACCACTTGCTGCTGCCAAGAGAGGTAGCCCTCTCCCCCTATCCCTCCCCCTGTTTCTTCCCGCTGGGACACATGCTTCTGCCAAGTCCTTGCTCCAGCACACATTTGCTTACAGCACAAAGCCAATTCAACTCACTAAACCAGCAGAAAGTAAATTGGTTTTGGCTAGAAAGCAAGCTGAATTGGCTTACTACATGATCAAGCGAGCACTAGGGCTGGTGCAAGACAGAAAGAAGATGAACTGTACAGCTGAAGGCAGGAACAGCAGAAAAGGGTCTAGGTGAGGTGGGAATGGTAAGAAGTAAAAGAAGCTGTTAACACAGCTTGGCCGCAGCAGGGGATCACAGTCTTACCATGGTACACCAATTTACAAAACAGGTCTTGAGCACGCAGTTCCCATAGATATCTCATTTCAGGGACAGCAATTGCTCTGATACCTGCATGTTATTAACGGGGATTTTGTATCTAGCCTTAGCATGGAACTGCACTAACAATTACAAATCTTAAACCCAAATTCAAGAGGCACAGGTACCCCAAGTGTGTTGCCTGGGAAGGAAAGGGATTTTCTGGTCTGAGCTCTTCTGCAGGATAGTGCCAGAGACTAGGGAAGCTTTGCAAGGCTTCACATTAACCCCACTGTTCTGCTTCTCGGACACTGATTGTTTTTGTGCATAGGACTGCACAATGAACAAGTCCCTCCTTGCAATGCCTCTTCATGGGTCTGCCCCAAGCTCTCTACAGAAATAGAATCATAGGATGGTTTGGGCTGGAAAGGACCGTAAAGGTTATCCAGTTCCACCCCTCCTGCCATGGGCACGGACACCTTCCACTAGACCAGGTTGCTTCAAGCCCCATCCAACCTGGCCTTGAACACTGCCAGGGAAGAAGCATTTGCAACTTCCTTGGGAAACCCATTCCAGTGCCTCACCACCCTTACAGTAAAGAACTTCTTCCTTATATCTAACTTAAATCTCCCCTGTTTAAGTTTAAACCCATTACCCCCTGTCCTATCACTACAGTCCCTAATGAAGAGTCTCTCTCCAGCATCCCTGTAGGCCCCCTTCAAATACTGGAAGGCTGCTATGAGGTCTCCACACAGCCTTCTCTTTCCCCCAGCAAAAAGCATCCTGTGGGGACCAGCACATTATTCCTCTGTAAGAGAAACACTACAGGCTGGCAGTGAGAAGACAAAGCCCCTGGAGATCCACAACAGTGGAAGCTTTCCGCAGAGTACCAAGCACTGAGACTGCATCCGTTAAAACAATCAGTTACCTAAAACGTGGCTTTACACCAGAGGGGAGTTTAGTCACTTACCTCCCTTTCCCATATGTCTAGCACAGCATAGGCTGTTCCTACCCACCTGCTCCTAAGGTAGGTCATGTTTTCCCCATTTTCCTCTACCTTCTGTTCTCTATACATCTTGTCCTGCCCTGAGCACTGCACTCAGTGATGCTGGCTTTAATAAACAAAAAAAAACAACCAGTAGAGACTTTGAATTTTATTAACCTACAAGTTTTATATTCTCTCCAAGCCTCTCCACATTCTGCCTCAGCACTGCCGTGCTCGGGGACCTCAGTTTATTAAACTAAATCTCAGCCCAGCCTGGCTCACACCGGCTCTCCCCCACGGGCGGGCGGGAAGCAGCACCCACCCCTGCTTCCCCCTGCGGCAACGGTCTCATGGAGGAGCACAGCCCCGCTGCGGGACGATCCGACGGGCACGGCAGCACCTGCGCGGGGGGCTGACCCACCACAGGCCCGGGGCGCGGTGGAGGTGGGAGGGCAGGCCCGGGGCGCGGTGGAGGTGGGAGGGCGGGCCCGGCGGTGCCGGAGCTGCTGCTGCTGGGCGGGCTGGAGCTCAGGTGAGGAACGGCAGGGGCGGAGGGACAGTTGGCCTTCGGCCCCGGGGTGCTGTGGAACGCAGCGGCAGAGACGGCCCTAGGGCAGTTGCTGGCCGGCGGGTGGGTAACGAGGGGCGCGGCTCCTTCCTTAGGGATGTGGAAGGTGTGCGGCCTCAGCTCCGGGGCTCCGCAGAGGGGGCGAAGCGGGGTTTCGGTTTGGTGTCCTGGTGCTGAGGCAACGGGACCAGCACCGTGAGGAAAGGTGCGGGGTTGAGTTTTGGTTAATGGCTTCTGCCGGAGCAGGGGAGCTGAGCTCCCCCAGAGGAAGGCCCGGCCTCTTTGTTAGCTGTAAACAAATGGAAACCTAATTTATTTCTGTAGTGACAACCTAAGGAGATGGAAGTCAGGAAGAGAGTTCTTGGTTTGATGAGACAAAATTAAGTCGACCGCAGGCATTTCTGTGGTAATGCTGAAAGTCTGCGTTGAAGGCAAATAAGTATAGATTGCTTATGTCCTTAAACTATGTGTTTCTGTATTTTACAGGTCTGGGCTTAAGAGTACTGCACTTGAAAGGGTAAAGACACTTTCAGGAAATAACATCCCTGTAATATTTAATACCAGCTAATTAAGGGTGTGTCTTCTCAACAACTGATTTTCTTCCCAGCACAGCTTTGCCTATACCTAACTTTTATCCAGATCACAGGCGATGCGGGGGAAACTAAGGGTACCCTCCTTTTAGAAACTTACAGGACAAAGGTCACAGCCTGCACTTTCAAGTTTGTCCTGCCATCAGTGTGCCAAGCTGTGTGCTTGCTCATGGAACATACCATTGTTTGCTGGGTTTAATGCTTTAGTAAGAACACTAGAGAAGCCAGGATTCATATTCTTAGTGGACATCATGCCTTGTCCTTGCGGCAAAGGTAGGAGAGTCAGGACAGACCTAGTAAGTAAGCTAAGCACAGTAAATGTTGACTATAAAAGCATTGCAATTACTTGGTGAATACGAAAATGTAAAGAAAAATTTTCTTGTTTAATGAAGTTACTTCACCTATAGTTTAAAGGGTATTATTTCCTTTGCTTCATAAGGAAGTTAGTACTAAGTCTTGAAACTGCATGAAATGGATGCAAGTGCTGGTCAATGAATAACTAAGTAAAGCTATAAAATGAACCAGTTTTATTTCTCTAGCTCAGGAAGTTATTTTAGAAAGAAAGAATACATGTAAGAAACAAGATGCCTCATGCTGGGAGACGATACCAAGATAAGCAGTACAGGCACCATGAGAACCATGGATCTGATAGATATGAGGAAGACAGAAGAGTGAGAAAACCATACCCATACGATACAAGGTACGTCTCTATCACCTTAAAGAAACACATCATAGCAGGTCTTTAACATGCCTTTTAATTTTGTTTGCTTTTCTGTACCTTCATGTTACAATAGTAAAGAAAGCATTTACTCACCCTTGAAATTGTGAAGCATGAACACGCCACGTTTGGAATCAGAGAGCGATTTTACACTTAGAAATTTAACCCTTTCCTTTGTAAAGAGAGGGGACAGAAAAATAGACTGTGTGACACAGGCAGAGGTGTGCATTTCCTGAGTTATCTGGATCAAGCTGGGTCACAAGCAGGTGTAGTGTGGCCATGTGTCTTAGTACTGTTTGTTCCTTAGGAGGCTGGTCAGTAGGTGACAAGAAGCCATGGCTTGCCAAGTATTCATTGCTTAAATGAGAATGTTACATGACTGAGGCAAGCACGGGGACCTTCTGAAGTCTCAGATTGCTCTATTTCACCTGTGAACAAGTTGATATTAATCTAAACCAAAATTACTTTCAGTACGTGCAGTCGGTAAATGAGTATTTAAGTGTCTAAGGCTGTTTACAGCACTTGATAGTGGGTCAGCCCGTATCATTGCAATAAGCAGATCAACTAATGGGTTTGGAGTGACAAATAAACTCTTCGCCTTCCAGCCTGGCCAGCCTACAGAATATTAGGCGTGAGCTTAGGCTGTTTCCTTTAAGGCATGACAGTGCTTGCATTGTGGGAGAGAAGTCTGTAGCTCTAAATGGCACTGGCAAATTAGCCATGGCAGTAACGTGTTCATCATGTGTAGTCTCTGGGGCCATGATTGTAGGGCAATTTAAGAATAGAAACAAAGAGGGAGAGGAGATAAAATATAATTAAGATTATTGAAAAGCTGAAATAAAGAACTACACCCTCATAATACGCATGTTAGCAAGAAAAACAGAATGAGAATAAAAGCAGCAGTGAAGAGCACTGTGTAGACTAGGAGTACTTATGACAAAGTATAAAACATTTGGATGGTGGTATCTTATTGTGTTATGCAAATAGCTAATTAAATTTTCTTCTGTCTCTCCTAAATCATGAAAAAATGGAGAGAAATGGAAACAAAGGTCAGCCTAAGAATCATCCTTAGAGGCTGAATGACTGTCCTTGGCAAAAGCAGAGATCAGGAGGGGATATAGTTAAATTATTTTGAACATATTAGAAGTGAAAGCAGCAGATGCCAGGAATGTATTCATTGAACTGTGGAGAGAAAAAAAAAAAAAAGGATGTGTTTTTGGGCATGGCTTGTTTTGGGTTGGGGTTGGGTTTTTTTTTCTTTTTTTTTTTTCATATATAGCCTAATATGAGCAATGTGTGAAAGGATAGCTATAAATTAAACCACCACTTCTTAATAAAGCCCTTCTCTGGACTTCTTGGTTTTGCTGTTGGTTTGAAATGACTGGACATGTAGACTGAAAATTGGTGAATGGACTGTAAAGGCCCAGGACAACAGACCATCCCTATATCCATGGATGATTAGAGGAAGCTGCAGCTAAAGTCTGTAATAGCCATGGAGATAACAAGAGTCAAGCTGAGAATCTGGGGTCACTAGCCCTCACTACAACTAATCAAAAAACTTTTCCATCAGTTGTTTTGATAGAGTTTAGCTTAACCTATCAGCATTTCCCCTACTTAGCTCTCATGACAAAACCAGCTGCTCTTGTAAGGACATTTCAGTATTTTGGTGAAGACTGATTGACCGAAAGACCTCCTCTGTAATGAAATAGATAGGAAGAGTTTTGTGGAAGCTGTAATTTGGATGTCTAATGCTTTTATTCCTTACAAGCAAGACTTTCTAGCCAGATTATTTCTCTTAAGAAATGCATTTCTTTCTGAAGCTCTTACAGCAACCTTCATCTCACTGCTGAGGTGAAAGAGTTGTATTACCCAGGACTGGAAAGTCCTGAAGGAAAACAGAAGCAAAGGTGGCCAAAATAGGCCGTTGTGAGAGGAGAAAAACAGAAAGCATCTAAAACAAAGAATTTTTTTTTCCCTAATTGTACTCTGTTGCTGAACATTAGGGTTGGGTGTTTTTTTTTTTTTTTTTGTTTGGTTTTTGTTTTGTTTTGTTTTCTGGCAAGTAGCAGAATACAATAGAGAGAAGCAGCTGCATCAGAAGTACCAAAGGGATTGCTTTCAAGTTAACTGGAAGTCTTATAAATCACACAGCTTATTTAATTTATGTGACACAGCTGTGCAGGATGCTTTGGTGGTTGCACAAGACACAGGACAAAGGTCAGAAAAATCAGAAATGTTTCAGCCAAGTAGAGCTGTTGGCAACTGCACACAGAGATGCTAGCATTGGTCTTGTTATTGAATGTCTTAATTAAAATGTAAAAAACTACAAAGAATATGATTTAAGGTGGATGAATGAGATAATATTTCTAAGTTGAATCCGGAATTGGATGAAGATAAACCCAAGTGAAGTGCAGCGATACTGGGACACAAAACTACAGTTGAAAATGCTGATCTGTGGATAAGAAAGTCAAGATAAAAACTGAATAGGAAGAAGACTTTTAAAAATAATAGTGCTGAATGAGACTTAAAATACCCTTTAATAGCAAGATTGTCCAGCTGTACCTTGAAAAAGACAAGCTCCAGTTCTCCTTCAAATGAGGGAGGACATTTAGATTAGAAAACAATATACAGCTAATGTTTCTTTTAACCTGAGTGTTACCTCGCTTTAAAAAGGGCAACTCGCACTTTTCTCATAGAATAATCTAAATCTCACCAACCTTAAAAGTCATCAGGCTTCAGATGTGGAGTTGTGTATCATTGCAGCAAAGTGGACAATTCCATTTTGAGGTATACAAATGAAGAGTCTATCGGAGACATGAGAAAATTATTTTATTGGGTCAATTTTAGATTCCTTTTCAAATATCAGCAAATACCTGAAAAAAGAAACCTAAATAGGCAGGGGTTTTCTTCCCCACTTTAAAATCTTTATGTTTTGGGGGGTTTTTTTAATAACTTTCATTCTTTTAAAAGGCATCGTTCTGAGACATGATAATTGGAAGTAAAACTTTGACAAACTGCTTACCCATGACATAGGTGTGCTATTATACACCTGTATTGTGTGAGAATATTTTTCGTTTTTATTCTCTGGGCTGCTGTAGACTAGCTAAACTGTTTTTCATAAAAAAAAGCTGTTACTTGTTTTTATAGGAGAAAGAAGTCCCCCCCACACATCCTCCTCCTTGATACTGTTCACAAGTAGCCTAAACAATTCAGCCAGACTACTCAGTAATTCCACAGCTTTCTCAAGTAAGAATGATTAAGTGCAAATGTCCACGTGAACATGGATTTATGCAAGTATTTGGGATAATCCCTTTACAAAACATGCAAGCAAAAAAAAGATCGGATACCTGCAAAGCAGGCTAGCTGGTTCCTCTAACAGGGGCATCTGCTAATTTCTTATGTTCTAATGTTCAGGAGAGCATCATCTAATTATATTAGTTGTTTATTGTAGATCAACAGAAGACATCCGAGATGTCCAGCACTCAAGAACTTCTACTGTTTGCTCAGAGCCTTACTCTAAAACCTCAGGAGCAGCATTGGAATACTTTGGCCCACCACCAGACTATTATCCTCCCAAGGAAACCTTCTCAATGAAGTGTTCAAAGGTATGCACAACAAGAGGTATGTGAGATTCTTATTGCCTGCCATCCATCCCTCTCCTTCCAAGGACTAGTCTTGATTTTGGTTTCTGTCTTTAGAAGCACAACAAAGTAAAGCTAAAGAATTATTTAAAAAGCTTCCAAACAAACTGGGAGAGTTAATGAATGGAATAACTGAGGGTTACTAGCATGTTTTAGGCATCTAAATGTAAGATTTATAGAGGTACTTAGATCCTTGAAAATGCATCTCCAGAATAGTATTCAGAGGATCAGTGGGTCATGTATGTAATCACCCAGGTTGTGCAGCAGAAGTTAATCTTTGGAATTTAGGAATACAATAGATATTTGCATCTGCAGGCAATTTAAAGATGGCTGTTGAAACTTTGATGCTAGTTTTTTTTCTGACACATTCTTCTCAGACTTTTTATCAGCTCTGAATTTAATCCAGTGATCACTTAAACATCTTTATAAATCACCATTGTGGGAGACAAAACTATTTTACTTGTTCCTGAAAACGGGGGGCCCCCCCCAAGTGACTTTCTTTTAGTGAAGAAAGTCACTAAAATGCCTATTACTGCTTTAAAGTTTTCCCTCTTCCAGGTCAATGACCATTCTCACCTTGTTTGTAGGAAAGGCCCACTGCAATCTGAGTTGAAACGTGCAATTAGGTGCAAAGTCTTTGGCTGAAGTCTACAAACAGCCTTTCAGTGTTCAGTAGAGAGACAAATTAAGAGTTTATTTGAAAGTGGATTAACATACGTAATGTCAGATTACTTCTTCACCCCATGAATGAAAGTTGAATAATACACTTGCTTTGCTCTAAATATTTCCCTGAATCTGAATATGTGAACGATTTTAAGAGTGAGCTGAACCACTGTCCTTTATAAGTACGTTCTGTGTATTTGTCTGCAGTTTTTCATCTAGAGTTAACTCCAATAGTTAGTACAGCATATTTAAACATCCAACGCCATAGTGATATTTATCCCTGATAAAATTTTATCAGCAGTTTCTTCTTCAACAGTACTAATTTAAACTTGTTTGAGAAACTCTAGAAAACTCCATGCCTTATTTTATCACAGCTTTAGAAAAATGAAGTGGCAAGTTATATTTAGTTTACAGTTTCACTGGTTGTTTAGACTTATGGATAGCTTAATGTGACTTGATGTTTTGGTTTGGTTTGGGTTTTTTTCCCGTGCATTTGCTTCTCATTATTTCAGTGCATCATTAACATTTTCAAAATGTCCTAGTTTTGGATGCATCAGTTGGTGATGATGATTTCACTTTCACCCTTCCCCCAAGTATGGCTCAGAATTTTCCAAAAATTTGATGTTTTGAGTTTGCAGTGGAGGAGGGAAAAGAGATCATGTAGGAAAAAAAACCCAACAAAATCTTTAATTAGCAGTTTTATTTCAAAAAATGAATACATTGGAGGGTGTTAAGATTATGAGAACTTTACTCCCCTGTTTGATTTTTGAAAGTACCAAGACTTGGCAGGATTTTCTAGAGCCGTTTTGCAGAATTCGGTATTCCCTGCAGTCATAGTAAATGTTATAAAAAATAAAAGCTACATGAATTGTTTACTAAAAAGTCAGTATATGTGAGCTGCAACTTCTTATAGCAAGAAAAGTCTTGTAAATACTTTTTAACCATCTTTGCCTTTTGCCAGTGACTTATCAGCACTCCGGTGAAATTCCCCCTTCCCAATCACCATAATTCTAAAATAAACATCAAACAAGGCCAGGAAATCAAGCGATGTACCACAGTCTTTTATAAATCAACAACTGAAATGTTTAATGATCCTTAGTTTCTGACTGTACATCACTCTACTTGCACTACGGGTTTGTTTTGTTGTTTCTTTTTTTCTTCTGCCCATCAAATACGATAATGCTCTTTGTGCATGTTGACCAGTTTGGCATACTAGAGAGAAGTTCTAAACAACCAGAGCTCTGAAATGTATTTGCTTCACCTAAATACAGCCCTCCTCATACATGTTTTCCACAGCAACAGCCCAAAAAGCTAAAGCTGAGTTTCAGAAACAGGCAAGTTATTTTTGCAGAGATCCTTCGAACACCTTAGCTGCAAGCAGCAGCACAAAAAAAGGATGTTCTCCTACCTTTGTTATTCCCACCTTCCCTGCCTAATCACCACCTCCTTTTTTATTTTTCCTACAACCACATTAACAAAATAAACCCAACCCAAATATAATGGAAAGAACAAGTGATACTGACCCCTTTTGCTGGTAGGAACAATTGATACCATCTAGGAAACGTCAGAACATTCATCTCCTTTTAATCCTTTCCTCTTGAAAACAGAAGGAAAAAGAGTCTGTTAAAATGTTTTATAAGCAATACCTATGCAAAGCCATTCAGGTAGGATCATGTGGCTGGATCATACAAGGCACTTAATTATGCATCCTCTCAAATAATGTACTAGAGTACAAATTTAGGAGGACCATTAGAGTTTGGACCAGTAGAGAGTGAGCTGTCCTCTGAAGCCTGAGTCAACAGAAGAGTGAATGGTTGATCTTAAATTGGTCATAGATACTTGGTCACTTAACCTTGAAAGCTTTGCATTTTCTTTTTCTTGTGTATGTTGGTGTGAAAGAGGTGGGATAATGCAATCCTAGGATAATGCTTCCTCTAGTTTTGCTCAGACAGTGCAGGTAAACTAAGTTTCTCTCATCTTCAATCTGTATGTGACTCAAGAAATGCCTGCACTTTTTCCTTATGTAGAACAGTACTGTGCTGGTCATCATTTCTGAGCTAGTAACTTATTTTTTAGAAGCTCTTCAACCCACTTGGCATTTAAGGGAGACAGCACTAAAAAGGTTAGAAAACAGTTTGTGGGAGAACAAGTATAATTGAATCCTTGTTCTTTACTGCCATGAATACAGCTTTGCACCATGAATAGTGTCAGATTTCTTAAGCATATTGTAGGCACTTCCAAACAATCAGGCCTTTAGCCTACATTCGAACATACACAATTGTTAAAACCTTCAGACCAATTTCCTCTCAGAAATAGACAACGTTACGGTTTGTAACAAGAAGAACAATCTCCAATTTCAAGCATAGCTGGGAGGAAATATCAAACTGAATTTATTTAGAGGAGGAAATAGAATTAGGGAGTAACAGATACTTTCTCCAGGATATATTCATGCATTAACAAGCCACCATTAATTGAAATGTAAGCATCTATAAGCTTTTGTTTTTACAAAACACAGTCCAATATTTTTCCTGTAGCTATGAAAGCTGGCAAATACTCATAGACTGGAAAAAATACTGAGATGAAAAGTCACCCTGAATACAGGGTTCACACTAGTAGACACTTGGTTTGAGTTACCCCATTGTTCATAACTGTTATACTGCTGCTATGTTGCTCTGTGATGTTCTGATATCATTCTTCTTGGACTCAGACATGGGACCAGAGGGGAAGAGTATTTTGCACAGCACTTGTATCCCTTCCAGTGCTGAGGAGATGTTGGGGAAAAATAGTGGTCTGCAGGAGGCATTGGACTGGAACAGAAGACCTGTAGCTTTAGTTACATATATTCAAAACCACTGAAGGGTCATTCAGTGTGCATGATGTGGGTAACCTGCTTTGTGTATGAAAAAAGGCATTTGACAAGCACGTTCAACAGCACATGTTAGGTCTTTCCAGGAGTGGTCAGTAGGATACTTACGTTTTGGTGGAGGCGCCCATAGAATTAGAAACTGGTGTATTTTGTAGCCCATTATATTCAAATTTTGCCCCTGCAATCTGCCATGCTTAGCTCCTTTACACTGGGCTCAAAGCTGTCACGCATTGTTCCTCCAGGAGTTAATTTGAATGTATTTCTCTGTAAGAAGGGAACACTAAGGTCCCCTATAGTCTCATTGTAATTAGATGGCTTCCACTTCCTATCTGTTGCAAAGTAGTTTTAAATATAGCGTGACTAACAGACTGAATCTGCCAATAAGTTTTTAATCTTGTAATTGTGAAGACAGAGGATATTAGTAGTGGGAATTGGATGGAACTGTACAGATTGAAATTATCCCAGTTATAAAAAATGGTTAATTAAAATTGTGCAGTAACAAGACACAGTGGCAAAGCTGCAGGTATCCTTCCTGTTCTGAAGTTAAAGTATTTCACTTGGAGGAAAGTCCTGTTTGTTGTGAAATAAAAATGCCCATGAGCAGTTAGCTATATAAAAACATGTAGGGGAGCTAACTGAGCTGCAGATGCTAAATGTTACCTTTAGCAAACTGTTGTCCTGCCAACATATGGGACTTCCCTAGGCCCACATCTTTATATCAAGGGGTTTTTTTTCATCCGAGTTCTGGCATTGTGCTGACATGTACACTGTTGTTTTTAGAGAAGGGAGAACTATAACTGAGAAGACTCACTCTAAGTTGGCAGGGGGAGATACTGTCAAAGTTGATGATAGCTGTTGGATATGCGTTAGATTCTAGCCTGTGCTTCCCTACTGGGAAATCTTAGCTTTCTACCAGCATTGAACCTGGAGCTGGATCATCTTTCCTGTAAGACCACTGGGTTTGTCTTCCCCATATCCAACCGAAATTCTGGGAACCAAGAAAAACTCTTTAAAAAGTGGCTCTCAGGACTAATTGATACAGCCCACTGACTACGTATTGCATGTAGCTCTCTTCCTTGAGCAGTTGCTCTTGGTTCACGTAAAGGAGAAAAATCCACCCCGTCAGGAATGCTGCTCACCAAGTGTGACAACCCACAACTGTTACAGTGAATGAGAAGCTCAGATTCACAGGTGCCTCCAACCTGACCTACCTTAAGACAGATTATGATTGCTTAAAGAGCAGTAACACCCCAATCTTTGTGCTTTCTAAAGGCGGCTCAGTTTCAGTTCAAATGGAGGGAGTGGCTATGGAAAGTTGGCATAAGGAACAAGAGTGTTTCATTGTTTTCTGAACTCTTAAGAAAAAAAAAAACAAACCTCCCCTAAGTTTGTTTCAATACCAAGGTATTTGTTTACTGCTTGAAAGAACTACGGGTACATTAGGAAGAAGA